GAATTACTTTATCATTCATACAGATTCTAAATTTAATTTCCCCTTCATACAAAAAAGTAAATACCAGCCAAACTCTCCAAAGCTATGAACATCTTAGCGAGGGTGGGGGGTGGGGGACAAGGATAATATTATCCTTTTTTTCTAATGTACTATTGAAAATGTATTGTACGATGACACACTCTGTCTATACTATAAATAAGAGAAACAGTTACATTCAAAAAATCTTGGATGAAAGAGACTTGTAGCCATTGAGAGGGGCAAAGTTCTGTAGTGCCCGTCCCTAAGGACAAGTACAACTCACTCCCTGGAAAAGATGCCCCAAGGAAACAACGGAGGGACCTTGAACCGTAGTTCTGCACATGCCACCGCGATGAATGCACACCATTGTATCATCATCTTCAGGGCACTGGTGAGAGACAAAGTGCACTTGGCCAAGGCTAGGGAAACGGGTACACAAAGAACGCAATTCAAGCAAAGAAGAGCGGGTAGAGGACACATTTGTGGAATTTTAACAGACTCCTGGCATTCGTATTTACTTTTTGTTTACATTTGGGCTTTTACAGACACGCTGAAGTGATTTTGCTTGTCCTCTTTGTATATTGAAAAACTGGAAATGTCGATAAAAGCACAATTTGTTACTTAAGAGAATTTATTAACGTTCTTAGGAATATTTTTAAAAACTGGCTTCAAAGAGACTAAGAAGCAATTGAAAACTTCATATAACAAATAAAAATGTCATTTCCTTTTTACAGCTCTACGAATGGAAAAATACAGTTCTCTTTTCTCCTTTCATGAAACTGGCCCAGAGTGTGAACAAACAGACCACAACCAGGCTGACAGACACTCAGTTATACTTTATTGCCGTCAGAGACCCACATCATGTCAGATATCATATTCTCCATGCACCTGTTTATGACTGCAAGAAAAAGATTCTCCTGTGTAGTTTTCTCTTTGTTAAGTCTGCCTTCGTTCTTCATTCCGTACTGTGGAGTTTGAATACAGACTCATCTTTTATTGACAATGCAAGTCATGATCACTGAGGAACATGGGAAGATACAGCAATAAGCACAGGTTCAGAAAATTGGATCTGTTGTAACTTTTGATAGAATAAGGCAAAAGGCTGAGGCCACAGTGTGTGTGTGCTGACCTGAAGCGGGGCCGTAATGGAAATGGCCCTGGGCGAGTAGAGCTGTGGTCTCCTGCAGCCTGACCAGGTTGGGCAGGTGGCTGCTCTCTGGCCGGAGCTGTCCTGCTGCATCCAAATCAGCCCCAGTGCATAGGACCGTCTGGGGCGTCAGCTGCCAAGGTCCAGCATAAGTTCTGTTCTTGGAGGCTATCCTCTGGGCTCCCGGGCTGATTTTCTAAGGGCGCTGGTAAGTGGCAGTGCCTCACCTCCCATGGCTGCTGCTTTGCAAGTGCGTGTTTCTGAGGCACGTCTATCACTCCTGATGTATGCTGGTCTGGATTAATTCTTGTTTGCTTCCCACTGAGTCAGTGAGTCTCAAATTTGTGTGCATCAGCAGTTCCTGGGGGTTGGTTATAAATTCAGATTTCTAGGCTCAAATAGGTCTGGAGGGGACCCCAGGTCATCACTGGGTCTCGTTTTTAGAAATCACTACTATATCAATTGGGATAAAGAAACAAAGATTTCTCTTAGATTTTTCATTTCTAATGAATTTGTAAAAATTCATCATCTAAAATATTTGAAAATAACCCAGATTATATAATTAAATCTTCACTCAAAATAGACTAAAAGACTGATAGAAGTCACATTAAATTAATTTTCTTCTGCATAATGATAAAGTTGTGGAGCACTTCTCTTTATTATGTAGAGAAGACTGATTTGGTAAGAGACATACATTTATGAGAGAGCTGAAACTCCCTAAGAAAATATTTTATGCCACCAGGTCATGGTTATTTCACTAATCACTCAGCACTGATGAGTGATTTTTTTCCCTTTTTTCTTGTTCATCTGCAAAGCTACTACAGAGTTTCATAGTTGATTTAATTTTTCTTTCACTAGTAGAGAAATTAAATATTTCTTATGCTAATTGGTCACTTACATTTCTGCTTCTTTAGATTCTGTTGCATATAATTTGCCCATTTTTTCTTTCCCATAGAGGTGTTAGAGCTTTGACTGTTGGTCTGAAAGAGGTCTCAGCATATTAAGGATATTAACCCTCTATTATATTTATTGAAAATTTTTGTTACTCTTCGATTTTATCATTATAAAATTATAGCAGACATTGCTTAATAAACCAGATGAAGTCTTGGAATCATTTTCAGCATGTCATTCAGGCTGCAACTGTCAAGAGACACAAACTGAAACCGCCTATTTACTATTCCTGTTATGTAGTTCTAATTTTTGTGTGATTTTTAAAAATTGGATTTTTGTAATTAAGCAGCATTTTTAAAAATGTGCTTTGAAATAGTGTTGCTAGTTTGGGAATTATTTCTTTCCTGAAGTTTAAAGAACTCTCTGGAAAATTATTCTGACCCCGGAGTCTTGTAGGATATAAATATTCTGTACCCAGTAATTCCAAGTAGCTGAAGACATTGCAGGTTTACTTCTGCAGTTTGTTGTGTTTGTTGACTGTTGTTTGCTTCTGCTTTTACCAGGTCCAGGTTCCTGGGGTTACCATCCTGGGATTATTTTAAACTAATTTCACCTTCTTTTTTCTGTGTTCTAACAGAACACAGTTATTGACAGTTTGGGGGGGGTACATAAAACTAAGTTAATCACGTGTAGAGATAAAAATTAAAATTCTCAGATTCAAAACTTAGAGCACAATTTCAGGTAAGTCGCTAGCCCTCTCTGTACATCTAGACATGCTGGCCTTTGTTTGTAAAGTAACTGGAATCCACATTAGCATCAAGGCCTGGCACTTCCTGTCTCTTCCTCTTAGAATGATCGTCCCCTTGCCTGTGCGTGCGTTGTTCACCGTATCATTTCACTGAAGTCTCTGATCAAACTTTACCTCCTTGGAGAGTTTTAAAAAGAACGTCTATCCATGTAGCATTCTGTTTCATTTTTTAAAAGCTGTTCTTCATTACTTAACAATTCTTATATAATATGTACTTTATAACTCATTACATGCATTGGTTTATTTCTATATATGTGTTTCATGCATAGTGGTGTCCTCAGCTCCTCAAACATTTGTTAAATTAATGAAAAGACAAGTAAATCTAAAACAATAAAGTTAAATTCTATATAGATCTCTTTTTAAGTAGTTTTTACTTTCAAATCTCACCAATATGAGATAACACCAGCAAGATAGGGGACTGAGCAATAGGTATGAACATTCTGAGCATAAATTTATCTTTGGGCCCGGAAACTCAACCAAGTTATGTATACTAACTTTAAAAAGCTAATAATATTGTCTTAATTTATTAACACCTACTTGATGTGATCACCAAGATGGTTATTAGCCAATCATTCTTTCATTCTTCATATATATAAAATCTTCCTCACTTTGAGGCTCTGAGCACTGCCCATATACCTGCTAAAAGAGGCTATTGATTATACAATTATAGCCCAATTGTTGCTTTTGTTTAAAAAGAACTCCACTTCCCCCATTTCTTATTGATAGATGCTTTCTTGGCTAATTAATTTCCCAGAAGTAGCTGAAAGGCAATACCTGACACTGGGCTTCTGAGGCTACTCAAAGTCTTGCTTTACTAACTCTTTTTATGATTGGCTTTTAAAGCACATCAAGTAGAAACTGATTTCCTAGAATTCCTTAATATCTAGATAATGGTGAAGTGGTTGTGTTTTCTGACAGTTTACTGTTTATCGTTGTTGTATGGGTGTGAGAAGTTGTGAATAAAAATATTGAAGAAATCATCTCTCACTCTCTAAATATACTTTATATATGTATACACACATATTTATTCCTGGTTCTGCCTTTTTATCAGATAATGAATGCTATTACTGTTCTAGTCGGTGAGCTCTATCTTTTCAACCTCCAGTTTGATTGCCTTTATTATTCATTTGATACTTAATTGTCTTGTGTTACATACATTTCCCATGTATCATTTTAACTAGACAGTTCTTTAGGGCAGACACCAAACCTTATTCTTCTTAATTAGTATCCCCCAGTGCCTAGTACAACGTCTTAGACAGTGCCTGCCACGTGCTAGGCAGTAAACAATTTTCTCAAGAGTTTGACTTGTTTGAGTTTGATCTATAGTTTTATGTCCACATGACTCTACCATTATGCTACTGTGTATAAGATTAAGGACTTGTTTTTGAGTGCTTACTCTCTTCCAGCGTTGTGCTAAATGCCTTCGATGCATTTCTTTTTTGACCTGAATCTCACGCTGACTTTATGATGTAGGGTCACTTTATAGGTGAAGAAACTGAGCCCTAGGGAGACCAGCGCTGATCACTTAGTCTGTGAGCCTTGGCCAGGCTCTGATTTGAATTCAAAGGCTAACTGGCTTCCCTGGACTGAATGTCCAGGTCATCTTCCTGAGCATGTGAATCCCGTGTCTCTAAAAAGAGAGTAGCTAGAAAATAAGGACCTTGACATGCTCCTTCTTTGCAGTGGGGACCACCAACTGTTTCTCCATCGTCTCCCTCCTTCTTTGCTTTCATGTGAAACAGAAAAAATACTGCTTCATATCTTCAGAATACTATGATACATAAATTAGGAAAATGAATAAAAAGTAAAGATACAAATAATAGTGTCACAAAGAACATTAATAAAAGCTGATTTGAAATTAAGTCTTTTCCCTGAACCCTGAGTGATAAAAGAGTAAGCGGTTAGCTTCTGGTGGGCAGGTTAAAATCGTTTTGAAAGGATTTTGATTAGAGTTTTACCCTGTTGGCCTTTTTCATGGAAATATTCACAAAATACAATAAAACAAAAGCAACGGCAAACATAAACAAAACAAGCAAGCTTCTTTATATCAGTAAACTTCTTAAAAATGTTCCTTTTATTGTGGAATGCACTGAAATAGCTATGCATTTTTCCAACTGTGTTTTTTTCTACCCCAAGGGAAAACCGCTTTGAAGAATGCAGCAAATTATTTTGTATACTACGTCCAAGGCTGCTGAGCCAGAAGAATAAGGACATACTGCTTGTGAGTTCAGCTGGATCAATAGCTCAGCCCTGGGATTTGCTCGTCTGCTGGATACTGAATGAAAAGCACTAAGCTGCCAGTTTGTACCATGGATATTTAAGACCCCGATGCAGCCAAGAGACATTTTTCATCAGACGGAAAGCAGCTTACCTCTAAAAAAATGTTTAGATATATGAGCACACAACATACAGAGACTCTGAAATGTACCTGCGGATCATGTAGGAAATGCTCCCTTTCCGCTCTATTACTCGAGAAAGAGTACACCCACATCCACACCCACACACACACACAACTATACAGAGAAATCTCTATTCATAGAGTGCCTTTATTCCAGAGGCCTCAAAGCACTCCACAGACCCGATCAAATCCATTCCTGCATCTCTGTGAGTAAAAGGTGAGTGACGGAGATTACCTACTTTTTCCTGCTGGAGAACAGTTCACAGCTGGCCGAGCGAGCGCAGGAGACAGTCTTCTCCATTTCCCACTTTGCCGATGGCGCTCTTCACCGTCATAGGCTGTCTGGTTGCCTAATGTGTGTGCAAGTTGGTGAGTTATCAAACAGAGTTCTGACAAGGAATTGTTTGTGTCTGCTTTTCTTTTTTCACTCCCAGTTTTCCCTCCATAAGCATCCGTATCAGTCCTGGTATCGCAGCAGCAAGATATGCAAGCAGACCTATTAGTGAGGAGGAAAGCAGCGAGGGGCTGTTAGATCCAGGCTTGCCTACTTAGCTTGAGATCTCTGTGGTTCTGTCGCTCTTCTGAACATAAATACTCTCCAAAGTGGTATTCAGAAACTGCCATGAGAAAAGAGGCAATACAGACAAAGCAATTAAAAAATGGGGAAAAAAAAGTCATCCAGCTGAAAAATAGTCATCCAGTTGAGGCAATCAAAAGTTCCTGGCAGTTGGCTGTACTTATTAATTCTTTTCCTCTTGCCGATACTCAGAGTGGAAGCACGCACACCAGGATGACAAGCTAAGTGAAAGCTTTCAACATCCCGGGCAGGCTCGGTTGTCATCCTGAGCATCCAGAGGTGCTGTCCTGGCTTGGGGCCCGGCCATGGACTACGAGAGAAGCATCACTGCTCCCATCTCTTTGTCACCGAAAAGTGGTCCTTGCCTTTGGCATTTCTCTTGACTTCAGCTTTTGCTTCAAGCAGCAGTGCAGTAACTGAACTGATAGAAATAATGACAAAGAAAAGCATGAAAATATTTGGTAAGACAACTCCTTCCACTGTAGTAAAAAGGAAAATTCTGCTTTGATCTCACAATTCATCTGCTCATTTGGGTCAGGACTTTGGGCCTGTGTAGGTGTCTTCTCACACGGACAGTTTGTTGACTTTCGCATGCTGATTCTGAATGGTAGAGTCTATCTTGATAGGAACCAAAGAAAGCCACAAAGATGAACTAGAACTGAGACAGAAAAAAACCAAATTGAAAAGAGCCAGTGGAAGCACATGGTGTGGAGGTTAAAAACCAGGTCTCTGTATTTGGACACAACCAGCTTCCATGGGTAAATCATTTAACTTCTCTACATATTCCCTTTTTTATCCTTTGTAAATGTTAGACTAGTAAGTACTTCAGGGAGTGTTGGAAGTACTAAACAAGGATAATATATGTCTAGTAAACTGAGAGCTCTCTTCTCCATCTTTTTATTGGAATAATGTTCCTAAACACCCTGGGTAACCATGTCATTGACACCATTCAACGTCGTAAAGATGTACATAATACAAACAAATAATGGGCTAAATAAAAAAGCCAAACACTTTTAGATAAAACATAAATGATTTAAATAAAATCTTAATATCTTGTGCTCTATTATTCACTTAAATTTCCCAAAGTGAAGTGTTCAATTTAGCGTCAAATCAGAGGGTACAGCATTTCAGTCCCTAACCACAGCACACTGTAGTTTTACTAATACAACTGAAAGTCTATTCAAAACAAAAACAAAACAACAAAACAAAGGTATTGGTACCAACACCCACCTTGACCACATTTACTGGCTAATCATAGACTCCTGACTGATTTTATTGAGAAGTGGGATTGAGATGGTAAGGAACAACCAGCTCATCAATACTACATAATGTTGTTTTTTTTAAGTGGACAGCAAATTGTGCTGAGCTCACATGCTATTTAGACCAGTAAACGTTCTATAAAATAAAGCCTTCTTATCATCTGTTCAAATATCTGAGGGAAAAATGTTATAAATAATAATATATTTTAAATGGCATTGCAAATGTTCACCTCAGGCCACAATGAAGAACGAGCACTGGAAGTAAGCGTGTTACAAATAGACTTTATTGTTTTGCTTTATGGACAGCACAGCAGTTTTTTTTTTTTCCATGTAAAACTACAGAAAATGGCCATTAGCATTCTAGTGAGCTCCAAGTTACCTGTTGTTTTTGAAAGTACAAAAAGTTTTCACAAAACTGCTGATGACAGGATAGCTTTCAGGCATAGGAAAGTGATGAGGTTTGATTAGAAAAGTCAGACTACTGTATTCAAGTAAAAGACTACTTGAATTTTACTTTAGTTAAATAAAAAGTGTCTTTAATAGTAATTTTCGGTTGAGACGGGAAGAAAACATTTGCTGCTTGTTCTCAGTCTTCCTAATTGAACTTGTATTTCCAACTTATAACACGTGTTTCAAACAAATAGCAAAATACCACATAAATATCACATAAAAAGCTCTTTTTCATTTTAGTAGAAAACTATAGAATTTTATTTGGAAAATTTAAAGCAAATGTTCTGGTTTAAACTGGCATTGAATATATCTTCTTTTAATGTGGATTGAGAGTATTTGTTTAGATCATCTGATATTTAAAATAGATAAGGAAAGCCAAAAATAAGTCATAAATATTTTAATAACATAATGTAGCTGGTTTTTCTCAATTCTTTTTTAGATATATTGGTTATTTGGTAGGAAAATGATGAATTGTATGTATAAATGACTCAAACATACATGGGATTTCTGTAGCCATTACAATAGAAAACTTTCCAAAATACCAGGACCCTGGAATTCAAACATGTATCGTGGCCAAAAATGGTGACTGGAATTTTTCAAATAAAAATTGTCCCACATACAGGAGTCTTCTATGGTTTCACATCCCTGTTCTCATGCTTTTTGCATTTCATGAAAAAAGAACTTCTCTTCTAAGCTTTGTCTCCCACTTCTCCTATATTTCTTTTGCTAAAGGAATCCTAGTCTGTTACTGTCACTCTATAAAGATGACATATTTCAATATAAATATTTAACGAGCAATTTTAGAATCATCTCTTGAGACCTTTCCTTCCACCAGTGCTGTTCTGCCCTTGAAAGCGCGGGTAATCATTAGTTGAACCCGTTTCACCTGCAGCCTGCCTTCACTAATCCAGTTCATTCTGATTGTTGCTTGAGGAGACCTGCATGTTCTCCAAGCGGCACAGAGCCTAAACAAGGACGTGTTTGCTCCAGTTGTTTCCTGGGAATTTGGAGTCCGCTGGGCCTAGTTCAAGCTGAGCTGGTTACGACAGGATCACTGACCCTCCTGCGGAACATGCGTAAGTGTCCGCACTATGCCCTTTTGACGTCAGGGGGCCTAAAACTCCTTCCTTAGATCTTGCTAAGCGCCTCCACATTTGAAGGTGCAGAGGCCTGCGGCGCAGTTACACCTGCGCAGGACAGCGGTTACTGGTTCCAGCGCCTTTTCCCATCGCCCGCCCCCACGCCCCCACGCCCCCTGGCCGCCCTGCTGCCTGATTGGTTATCCCATAAGTGCCCCTGCCGGACGCCGGCGGCAGGGGCGGGGCTGACGCGTTCTCTTCCTGTCTCTTTGCTGGGCTCCTTCTTAATAAGCTTTCTCTTCGCGGCAGTTCTTGGCGTCTCAGCGTTCTGGCTTGCTGAGCGTCAGGCAAAACAAACCTGGTTAGGTGACATCTTGCTCCCTGCTCCCGGGGGGATACTAAAGAGAAGACAAGTCCTGTCCTGAATGTCATGGGTGTCACTTCAGATTATCTGGGGTTTCCATGTGCACTATCATGGTCACCCCCGTGCCCTTACTCTTTCTAAAAATTTTTGTAAGCCCCTAAGTGGGAAACCTAACTTTTAATCCTGTCTTGTCTTTTCTAAGAACCAAAGCAATCATTTCCTCTGTCTTCCCTTTGAGGTGGGAGTGGTCTCTTCTGTCAAGATTTTCTTTGCAATCTCTCTCTCTCTCCGGGGTAAATAAGCCTGAAATCTTAGTGCTAGTAGCAGAAAGTGCACTGACTTCACGTTTTAAAAAATCTCGTTCCGAGAATATTACAAGTGTCGGGTACCGGGGTGGGTTCTGGGAAACCGAGAGGGAGAAGCACATCGCCTGCCGCCAAAGGGCTGCAGATTCACTGAGCAGACAAGGCGGGTTGGGAACGTAAGGGAAGCCCTGGGGTAGGGAACAGCGGCAGGAAAAGCTTTTCAAGATGATTATCTGAAGTAAGGCTTAGAATTCTCCAGAGCTTGCCTCCTCAGTAGATGGAAAAACAGGTTCAAAATTTAGAAGATAAGAGCATGGGGTGGGAAGGAAGTGAGCTGAAGACGGCTGAAGCTTAAAGGGCGAGGGAGAAGGAGCTGGGAATGAGTTCGGATAGCTGGGCAGGGCCCTTTCTTGGCACTGCTAACGTGTTCAGCCTGTTTTCAGAAACCACTGAAGCTTTTGAGGCCAGTCATATTTGCATCTTGGGAAGTAGAAAAGAAGATAAACTGAACTGAATGTTGGGGTTAAACGGGGGAGAATTCGGCGTAGGGAGAAAACGAAGGAGGCTGAGTAGCCCAGTTGTGTGCTGATGCTATGTCAAAGAGTGGACGCGGTCATTTTGGGAAGTGGAACTGATGGATTTGGGGGTTGATTAAATGCCAAGGTTAGTCAAGAATAAGGGCAAAAGGTGACTTCTGAGTGTGTAGCTCAGGCAGCTGAGTAAGTGCCTTTCCCCACCTAAAATTCGGAATAAGAAAGTTCTGGGGCAGATGAGGTGAAAGAGAAGAATGAGGTCAAATGAGTTTGGCTTTGGAGCTGCAGAATTTGAAATGCCTGTGGGAAGGACCCAGTGGAAATCACTTAAGTAATCAGTGAAATACATCAAGCTGGAGCTTAGTATGTTTAAAGTGTTCGAAATTTGTGTAGAGTGGGGTTCCAAGGATGGACTGCGGGAGCAGTTCGCCCGGGTTGAAGGCAATAAAAGGGGGCATTGTTTGTGGAACTGAAAACAAAACCAAGTCAGTCTGCACTGATGGTCAGAGTAATGCCAGCAAAAAAGTGCTCCTCAAAAACATCTTTTGAGTTCTAAGAAATTGCTGTGGTTACTGTCACTTTATAAAATCATAGTGCACATGCAGCGGAAATACTACAACATGACATTCAGTTTTGGTTGTGGAAATCCCCCCCCCCCCAGATTTTCTACAATTGGAAGTTAGTTATTTGGGCAATCCAACAGGATTAGAATACAAGTCTGGAAAGATGAATGCTGACTTGGGGTATAATGGAAATGGAAATGTAAAAATCATATAGATAAGACACTGTCACCCCTTCACTCACATTGGCTTGTTTGGTGTTCTCATAGCCTCCTGCCTTGGGTTTCTGCATTTGAACTCCCTTTTGCCTGGAATGCTTTTCCTCTCAAACAGATGGCTTACTCCTCACTTTTATTCAAGTCCTTTATCAAACATCCTCTTAGGATAAGCAAGGGAAAACTTCTGATTGAAATCTGTTTCTCCTATTCACACCATCCATTAGCTACATTCTTAATGCCTTTTGCTTTTCCCATCACTTCGTACCTTCTAAGGTAAAATAGATTTTACTTGATTTGTTTGTTCCTTTGCTACCACTTTCCCCTTGAATTTAGGAATGAACAGGTTTTATTTTATTGTTTTCCACTTTTGAGAAGGCTCATAAGCATAGCGTAACATAATATTTGTGTAAATAGAGGAAGAATATTAAATGATTTATGAAAGTAGTTTTATAATAAACCATAAATAAGAGAGCCACTTTTGGGGGAGAATCTATGTCTTAATTTCACAGTGCCTACCTCAGTTTCTGCACCAAAAAAAAAAAAATGCTCAGTGGTGACCAGATGTCCGGGTTTATATCTGTGGTCTCATCATTAAATATTAATGGTACATCTTTTAACTTTCACAAGGGTCTCAGGGCAGTAATATGGTCCTCTGATCAACAAATGCCTGATGAATAAAATAGTAAAGATTACTGTAGGAAGAATAGATCTGTTTGAGTTATATCCAAATCTCAAAACATCCCCCCCAGCTAATGAAGCACTGAATTGGGTGAAGTTTCAAAGAAAACAGCTTAATATGTTCCCCACTTTCTACCTCTTGTAGCTGTCTTAATTTTTTATTTCCATTGACTTTCATAACAGATTTTTGGATTAAGTTATTATTCATTTTCAAAAAGTATTTACTGAGTTCTTGCAATGTTTTTGGTCTTCTAAGGAGCACCCGATCTGGTGGGGGCATTCAATGGCATTTTAGAGTCAATGTTATAATTTACGAGAATAAATAGTTATTCGTTATTTTTAGAAACATTTTGAGAAAGGGAAAATGATTTTAGTGCAAATAAGAAAAGTAAAACTGGAGTGTTCTAAAATAACTATGATAATTGCTCTTAGGAGTTTTCACAACTCTGCTCTACCATAACCCATATAATAACACCCTAAAAACGCTGATTTGGGCATTCATTTAGTCTTTATTTTTATGAATATTTAAAGCTTTTACATTTTGTATAAAACTCTTCTATCCTGTTTTCACTCATAATACACGTACTTTCAGACCACTAAAATGGTATGATAAGCACACATAATTACAAGTATGGCTATAATTTCTATAACTTGCTTAATTAACCCTTTATTGGAGACATTTGATTTATTATTTTAACTATAGAACAATTCTGTAATAAGCAGCCCTATGCCTTGGGTTATTTTATATTTTAATTTCTTTTGAGTAAGTAAAAAGAATTACTCATAGGGTTTGAGCTAAACTTTTTTTTAATAGCTCCTGATATGATCTTCTAAAATGTTTGTAGTAATTTAGAGCATTGGCAAAGATTTAGGGTGTTACACTTTTTTTCCCCAAATCTAATTTTCATCTTTACTAACTTGGGTGTTATTATTTTCTGTTATTAGAAAGGAGATGAAAAAATTTGCCAAGCAGATAGGTCAATAGCTCATGATGCACACACTTATTTTTAGGATCTATTTGGTAACACAAATTAGTGATGGAGAGCCTAGATTTCAGATAAAATTAGTCAAATCTCATGCCAGTTTAGTATCTGCAAGAATTGAAATTTTATACATACATATATTTTCAAATTCTGAACTGCTTTGCTGCACACCTGAAACTAACACTGTAAATTGATTACACGTCAATAAAAAAGAATTTTTTAAATTGTAATTTTATATAAATTATATCATGTCCATGAGCTTTATTTAGCTAAACTGGCTATAATTCCTGCTTCATAGGATTGGTACAGAGTGCCTGTACTTATTAGGTGCAAAGTATTACATATTAGTACAAAAAATATAGCTATTAAGAAAAAGGAAATTAAGAGGACAAAAGGCATGCTTTTTTTTAACCTGATAATATTAATATGTAAAGGTTAAATTTTTTTCCATATGTTTTA